CAATACTTTCGGGAATAGATGCAGGATTTGTTCACAAAATAACCAGTTTACTAGCCATGGATGGCTATTGATTGACAAACCAACARTCGGTGAACTGAGGYATTTACACGTATTTAACCAAATCCGTGTGAACRTAATAAMGGCTCCATCCATTCTGATGCGGTTTCTCAATTTTTTCCGTGCGGAAAAGGGCTGGAACAATAGTCTTCAAAAACTCATCGGAGTGGACAAGACAACGTAAGTCGATTYGACAAGTAGCTAAGTCCTATTACTTGGGACTGAATTACGTCTAATCTAGGCAACGTGTTCGAGATTGTGATGTGAGTAAATTTTAAAACAAAGTTAATAATGGCATGTTTTTTTGTTTTTACAAATTCTAGAATTTTTCACCAACAAGAAAGGACGCGGTTAGCGATCCATAAAAACTACTTCCGGTAAACCTTCACTGTTTTTGTCTTAGTTTTAAAAATATGAATGATAAAATAAACGTATTTAAGCCTAAAAGAACTGCTATAAAGTGCTATTTTGACATATGTCAATAACGTTGTATAAATTTCATATGCAAGTACCTGTTTCCATCAGCTGATCGATGRCAGTTTCTAGGGGTCAAGTCTCTCCACCCTTCTCCCCATCTATCAGGGAATGCATATTTCCTATACAATGTATATCTTTTATTTTATGTTCAAATTGTATTTCCAACTCAAAATATAAAAGAAGTAAAATAGTCTTGTGGAGTTTTCTAAGTTATGTATGATTACCCAGAATGATGACACKGTCATCAGCTCCACCCCACCCCACTGAGTAACAATACACATGTGACAACATAAATCTTCAATCGCCGCTCTATGTCTGCTCGTCAATCGCTATATTCTCGACAACAGTAGTTTCACCAAACAATACCTGCTCAGGACTGACTTAATATTGATAGTTACGCATTCATTGGTTCACTAATGTGAGAAGACTGTTTTGCACCGGTTTGGGGTGTTTTAAAGCGGGAATAAATGCCGTAAAAGTAAAGATGTCGAGGAAATTTCGACCGGTTCCACACAGTAGTGGTATGTACAGCGTTCGCGGCTCAGAGCTTGCAAGAACTGGCAACTCTAACCCACAAAAGATTCGCTGTGTCGTGGAACTATTGGATGATTCGGAGTTCATCATCGATTTAGAGGTCAGTAAAAAAATCTATTGGACTTTTCTAGCGATATTTGGGTGGATTTTGCAGGAGATTGAAGTACACTTCTTTGTCAATGATATCACCCGCGAGAGCTGGTATAAATACGAGAGTGTGATGAATACTATTTCTAAATACTGGTTCTTACTAGACAAATTTTATGGTTTTAAGACACATTTATCTGGAAATTAGAGTAATTAGAAGATCTGGTTTAAGAAACCGAGTTCTTTTGTGCAAGTATGAGCTTAATTTCATTCGTGACACGTATTAATGCTTAGTTGAAACTGTGCTGTCAAACAAAGTTCTTTTCCTCTAATGATTTTAATTGTTTAGTCTTGATCAAAAAACGTTTATTACATTCAAGGATAATCAAACTTTACTATATTACTCTGGYTCTAAAGAAAAATACTTCAGGGCTGGCGATAGTTCATTGAGTAGGTTTCTCAAAAGGAATGTTTAGCATCASTTCGTAGAAATTCTTTTCACGTAAAGAATAATTTGAGCACTCCAACATCACGACAGTTGACGACCTCATAATATATCATTCCCTAAGCAAAACGCCATAATATTCACGCAGTTTAACGATAGTGCCATATAATGGCGTGAAAACTAAATTACAAGCTGTTGCAAGATGCAATCGTTTTATGTTCAATATGTCGATGGATTTAAGATATTCGACTAAAACGTAAGGCAGTGTTATCTGTCCATAGGATCTCAGCTTTATGAAGCTAYGACAAAAAAACATCTACACCAACTAACAAGCTCAAAATTGGATTTTTGTCGTATTTTGAACCTCACAAATCTCACATAAAGGAACAACTGTCACCGTTTGTTCATGTAAATATCTCTTTTGTCACCACCTGTGCCCAGCTAGGAAGTAGAATTGTTTTTCTTCSAAGATTGTTCAAAAACTGTGGTTTTCTCTCGTGTCAATATTAAGTAATAAGCTGAGGTTTCTCTGCTACTCCTAAAATGCCAATGCTAATCAAAAATAGAAATCAAATATGATGTAACTCACCACAGCCTGGGAGGTTTGTGGATATCCTTAAACCTAAGTATATTTTCAACTTTGATTTGATGTCTTTTCTATAATTTGGCTGTTTTAATATAAGACTTAGAGCAGTTTTCACATAAAAGAATTCTTCTGATTTTAACTTCACACTAACAAATTTGTTTTTCACTGTGTACTTCCCACTTCTGATAAAATCAAAGTATTCATAACCCAATTTCCTGAAAATTAGAAATATTTTCTTAATTGTTGTGGTTTGGTAGTCGTGCACTTTTAGACACTGCAACCCCACACCTTGTACATTTTTTTTTACAAAATAAATATGATATTAGGTTCTACCTGTTTCTATGTTTCACGAAAAAGTACAAGAATTAACATTACAATGATCTGAGTTATTAACTTAGAAAGCGCAATATTGACATAATTTAAAAGGCTGTGGTGGCAAAATGGTAGTTGCAGAGTTCCTAYYTGCTKTTACAAGATTAAAGGTTGTTAAAAACTGTAGTCCACTTTCAGATGCCTTTTGCATGAAATTATCATACACAATTATTGTACTTGTATTATAATTTGTTGGATATATCTAGGCTCACAAATTAAAAATTAAAGAATCTTAATTATAAAGCAAAAGTATAATAAGTCTTCAATATATAGTTTTTTTCTTTGAATAGGCTAATTGAAAAGTCAAAAGGAAATGCTGGTATTGTTTATGTCTTCTTTAGTGWTGAACCACATGGGTACCGCCGATATGCTTTACAGCACTTTTCAATTGGTCACACTCTAATGGGCTTACTGTATTCAAGTATGCAATTGAGAATGAAATTATTCACAGATCAAAATGTTGTAAATCTGTCTGGGATCACTGTTGAGGGCAATTAAGTGTTTTTTTGCTGATTGAACGCAAATGCAAGTTTTATAGCTTAGTCTAATTTTGATAAATTTACATTTTCACACCAGGACTATAATTGAGCGCCACTGTAGTTTTGATATTCTGTTTGTATATATTATTTAATTATATTTACTGTGTGATATAGCAAGAGTTTTATGTGACCTAAAGATAACTATTTGTAGCAATCGGTTTGTCATCAGCCAAGGGATGCTGTGTTAACATACCTGGAGATGTCATATCACAGACTAATTCCTGAAACTGGCACATTAATACCATTGCGAGCAATTGATTTCAATAAAAAATTAGCGTAGCAATTTTGTAATCAATAGAAATATACTATTTTTGAGCAGAAAGATGCAAAAGGGGAACTCTTACTTAAAGAAGTTTTCAAGCACTTGGATTTACAAGAAAAGGAATTTTTTGGATTGCATTACTTTGCTCCAGATTCTCCTGATAATATGGTAAGACAAATCAAATGTGATTCAATTACAGTTTACTTTCTATTCCTTGGTATTTTAATTTCCTTTTCCATCCCTTCCTAATTCCATTTCATTTATCCCATTCCTTTTTGAATTGAATTGCATTGACTATTACATTTATTTACATTTTCATTACCTATGAATCTGTAAATAGCAAAGATGCTAGACAAGGCGGGTTAATGTGATAATACCTGTACCATTTCTTATTCCATTTCATTTTCATTTTATTTCATTTCCTATTCAATGCCTCCATTCTCCTGACTTTATTYGGGCTTCATATTGATCTGAGTTTGAGCCCTKAACGTCTTGACCACCAGCTAAGACTGTATTTGTACTAATTCTATTTGTTCAAATTCTCTCAACCATGCTTGTAAATACATGTAGCAGACTGGTTAACCTCCTTATCAGTGGGGGCCCTTAACAAATTCTGCATGTAGTTTAAGTTAAACACATTGGGTTGGGAAGGGACTTCACAGAAGATTCTCAGAATCAATATCAATTTATATACAGATTACATTATATTTTTTAATTCTCATTCCATTCTATTCTATCTTTTCATGTCCCATTCTATTTCATTCCATTCATTTTTTATTCTATTTCCCTTRTTTAAAAGGTTAAATTTTAAATCCTGCATACTAATCCCTGTTAACAGGTTTGGCTTAAAGATGACAAGTTAATCAGAAAGCAGAGGAAAGGTAAATATTGACAAAGGAGTCAAATTTAAGTTATGCATGACATATACTATACTATCTACCTGTGAAAAGGTGGTAATAGCGTTCAGCTGTCAAATAGTAGACATWTAATWATAATATTATGTGAAACAAAATAGYTGGTGCAATGCTAATTGCCTCTAATTYCTTTGTTTTCCATTGTCTAATCAACACTGTTTAGTAGCAATTAGTAGCACTATTTACTATTAGTTTCCCTATTTGAGTCTACTATGGCTTTGAATAGTGTTTTTCATCCCTTAATTTTCAGGTCCTACACCTTACATTTTCTATTTTGGAGTGAAATTTTTTGTATCAGATCCAGCAAAGTTATCAGAAGACCTAACAAGGTATAAATTAAGCTACACGGCAACAAATGCTCATCCTTATATATGTACATGATTTTAGTCTGTTTATTAATTTGTTCTTCGCGAGCAGCATAATATTTTAAATATTTATGAACTAATCTAAATATCATTGTTATTTTGTACTTTTCAGATACTATTTTTACCTTCAAATTAAGAGAGATCTGCTAACTGGAAGGTAAAATTCCTGTTTACTGTTGGTAGTTGTCAAATTTGTATTACTATATTTTAACATTGTATAAGACATTTATTCGATCCTGGTGGTTAGACTTTATTWTGACTGGAATACTCATCATTGGTTACATGACTGTATTTTAGACTACCTTCTTTCTATGACACTGCTGCTGAGCTTGCTTCTTATGTCCTTCAAGGTAATTTGGTGTAATATACAGTTACTCAACATGGYAAACYTAAACAACATTACTTTCTGCCATAATTGTCACCTTACATAGACGACGTCATCACAAGACCATCATCACCTGTTCACAATTAATTGTCTCTGAATAATAATAATATACATTTCCAAAAACTAATACTATTTTATGTTTTYTGTGCATGTATTTTGGTATTTTTACACCTTTTTCCCCCAAAAGGACCATTAATTGATTATTTTAACCCATTCCCATGAGATTCAAAAGATAATTAAAAGACCGGTGGCCACTGGAGKAATCCACAATRGRTACTAATGAGAAATCCTTTGTTGAAGTTTCTCCAAGATGGCTGCTGTGACGTTACTTGAAAACGAAGAATAAATTACTTGCAAAATTTCTAGATAATTCTGAAAACTACGTTAATAATTTTTTACCCTAGATCAAAATCTTACCACATTTCAGCCTGAGGCTTAATTATGTCAGTTTTCCACAGATATTACATATAACTGGTCTATACCAATCATCATTCTATAGGTTGSAYCAGTAATCCATTAAATTKCTATTCTCTTACTATTTTCAGCTGAGCTTGGHGACTATGACCCAAAGCTTCATCTGGATGGTTATGTTGGAGAGTTTAGATTTATTCCTGATCAGGTTGGTATAATTTATTCAAATCAATTGATCTGTTCTTATCTCACAAATTCTTTATTTKTATTTCATAGACTGAGGACTTTGAAGAAAGAGCATCAGAGTTCCATAAACATCATGTGTAAGAAAACAAAATCTGTAACATTGTGCTTATTGTTAGCCTTTTTTCATCTTATTTTCTGACTATTTTTTCTGTCCATTCAGTCACATCTTCGTTTGTATATTTTTAGTGGCCAAACTCCAGCAGACGCTGAATTCAATTATCTTGAAGTTGCCAAAAACCTGGATCTATATGGTGTAAGCCTGCACTGTGCACAGGTATATAACAATTACTCTTATAGTGTGTTGT